TGTGTGTGTGTGTGTGTGGTCCAGCTGTTGGTCTTTTTTTGGTTTCCATGTGGTCACTGATATAAGCCGCCTGACATTTTGCTTGTTAAGCTGTTCTGAATGTGTGAATTTAAAAATGGGTCACCTGGCAGTCCTGAAGCTGAGCCAAGTTCCAAATGAAACTAAGATTGCGCCTTCATAAAGTATCGATGATTTGTATTTTTTATTTTTCTGGGCTAGTCAATGGTACACTTGTATAAAAAAGAAGCCCACCACAAGTTCCCAGAGTCCAAGATGTCGTCTTCAGATGTCTCATTTTGCCTCACTAATAATCAAACCCTGCTGCATATTTGGGTTACTTTCGTATTGACAGAAAAATCAGGGGAAACTGCATATTTGTGTAGTTGCTTTCACTTTTTTGCCAGAAAACGAGTCATAAAAATTCTTCCTGATTCATTTTCTATGGATTGACTCATCAGTTATTCAAATCGTGTATTTTCCCTGTCAGTGGTGGTCGAATGCAGACAATGAAGTTCTGTATCAGAGCCGCATTCTCTGACATCCTCCTACACATCCTCCAAAGGGATGGGAGGTTAGGGAAGAGTGGCTGGAGGTCTGGCACCAGCTGTCCTCTTATGTGAACTGTGGGGGGTTTCCCAGAACCCGATACTCTGGGAACCACTGCAGTGGCAGGGCATCCCAGCTGAGAACTGGTGCCCACATCCTTGCCACGGGCATTCCAGAGATCTGCCGCCACTTGATCTCCAGCAGCAGGAGGGAAACACCCATGCATCCTTGCTGCCCGCACTCAGTAGCCAGCGAGTGACTGGACCCCAGTCTGATGGTCAGTTTGTTTTTGGGTGGTTTCGGGTCAAATTCTTGCTGGTTGTAAGTCACCGTTGGGCCAATTCAGAGAGATCACGCACTGCGGCTGTGTGATTGCGCGGTGGTATGCGCTACCGTCTGAGCTTACAGTGTGAGAGCATATTTTTCTGCTTTTCTCCACTCAAAGGTCACGGTGATGTCATTCCTCGAGTATTTCGGGGTGTCCAAGTCACCCTGCGGCCTTCTGTTTGTCTCAGCCTGAAATAAAACAATAAGCAATGCCTGCAAATGTGGCCTCGGGAGTTTATATCAGAGCGTGAGTGTATGCATGTAGACAGGCAGTGATTATGACCTTCCTCCCTGTATTTTAACTGGAGCTCACTCACTTTGCAAACAAGACTTGCTTAGGATTTTTTTATTACTTCAATTTGTCTGTTTTTTTCCCCGTGTCTTTTTGGTCTGGCGGATATGGAACGGGCAACTTGTTTATGTTTAGGCTCAGCTTAAACACTTATAGCTTCTTTCAGGAACATTAACCAAAGGATGGTTGTGTCATTGCTGCCGGAGAGACCCAATCCATCACTACTGAACCATGCAATATAAACCTTAAAAATACACTACATGGTACAGAACAATGTATTAAAGTAAAAATAGTAATATCAAAAAATATTCTACTATAGGAAAAAGTCTTGCAAGAGGTGTGGGTAAAAGACCCCTGTGCATACAGTACTAAGACATCAAAGATAGGGCTCTTAAATAGTGGCCACAGAGACCCTTATATTTTGATAATATATTATAAACATTTAGTCTAAAGCATACTGGAAGTTGATTTAAAGAGGCTAATATGGCAGTTAAATGGTCATGATTTTAGTTCTTTACATTCTCATGTTGATTAATAGTGTTTTGGTTAATTTGTTCTACAATAATCCAGGCAGATAAAATAAAAGTGTTTATAATGGACTGATTTATGTTTTGTATATTGTCTATGTTTACTGAACAACAAAAAAGCCAGTTGAATTACTTAATCTAAAAGTAACCAAGATATATGTTTTACATACATCCAGGCAGGGTACACCATAGACAGGTAGTCAAGTTGCTGCAGGGCAAATATATTTTAGATTTTAAATCTATATCAGAAAAAAGTAACTGAAGCTTTAAAATAAATGTAGTAAATGTTGTGCAGATCTTTTTACCCTGCACTGGTCCATTGGTTAGATTGAACCCTGTAACCCTGTTTAATTGCACAACTCTGAAGTAGTCATCATCTATCAGTCTCTTGCATCATTCTGGAAGTAATCTGTAAAAACTCTTCTTTCATTCACGCACGGCTCTCTGTTTGATTGTCAAACAGTTTTTCACAGTTATGCGTAAAGACTATTAAAGGCCCACCACAGGATTTCAGTCATGTATGAATGGCCCAGCGATTATTTTCTTTTTCAGCCACTGTGTTGAAGATGTGCTGCTTTGGTTGATTTCATTGTCCTCGCCCATGATCCAGTTTCAGCCCAGCTCTAGCGGGCAGACTGCCTTACATCTGACTGTGGAATAACTTGGTATACAGGGGAATTCATGGTCCACTCAGTGACTGCAGGGTGCCCAAATCCAAATAATTACCCCTCCACCACAGTGAGAGACAGTTACTATATGAGGCATTTGTGCTGATATTCTGTGTTTGGCCAAACATCTCCACTTTGGGCTGACCTGTCCAAAGGACATTATTCCAGAAATCCTGTGGTTTGTTCAGAAGCAACAAACTT